AGTTGATTCCGGCCGAAAATTAGGAAACAATTATGTAATGCGGGCCAAAATTTTGAAGATCCTCGGCCGTTAGCCAAGGATCTGCCGCGCATTTTTTGTGCGGCACCTAGGGTTAATGTCGTTCATATTAAATCCCATTTTCTGTCCATCAGCATCGACCAATCAGAATCATGACAGGTATATCATGTGTTAATCTAGTAAGGATTATGATTTGAATAATCCTCATCCTCAATCCTAAATATATTACGGATCTATCCGTTTAAAATTGACGGATAAGGATATCCGCATTTAATCCGTATTAGTCGGGTTGCGGATCGAAGCACTAATATATACTGTAACCACCTTCGGAAATGAGATTTTATCACATGGCTGGTCTTTGTTAAAATCCAATGCTTAAAATTTTATTATATAATCCGCATTGTAACTCCTCAATCATCGATAATATTGTTCAAAATTACAAATTATCGTTATTACAAGATTGCAATTCATAAAATTATATTTATAAACGGGTCAGATGACGTTTACATAAAAAAAACCGTTCTCAGGGGGAATCAACATAAACAATAAATTACCTGTTATTTATAAATTGGTTCGTTCTAAGAAAGTAGAGCGGTTAGCGTTAGTTAGAAAATATCCTTTTAAAGTATTTTTAATTAATAATTAATAATAAATCTGGGATCACCATGAGGTTTGAATAAAGAAAAGGAGTCGAAGATGCATATTAATTTGTGATACGAAAAATTAAAGTTTAATTTTTACATAAATAGATGAATTGCGTGTTGTTGCACAAAAATAAAATCCATTCATAAACTAATTCCTAACGCCAAAAGAACATTTTTATATGTTTTTATCTTTTAATTTTTAAAATTTAATACGTATGATAGGAAAATGAAAAACTTGTCAAAAAGAATTTATTTAATTTCTGTACAAGTATGTTTCTTGGTAGCAAGCTGTTATGGAAATTACACGAGACCAGTGAATGCTAGTATTGCAGATCCATATCCAACAATTTTTGAAGAGACGTATGATGGAATTAATAAATTAGATTTCTTAATATTTGGTGATTGGGGATATCAAGGATCTGACTCTAGGCAATCAGTTGTTGCATCAGCTATGAAAACCTGGGCAGATAATAATAATACTACGTTCATTCTTTCTCTTGGTGGTATTTTATCAAAATTTTTTAAGATCAATCAAAGTTTTCTTGTGAGGCCTTAAACTTGTATATAAAAATTAAGAAACAATATATATATCTTTTTAAGATAACTTTTATACAAGTAATTCGACAGACCACGAAGGAGTTGATTCAATTTATGATCCTAAATGGAAAACTAGTTGGCTTGATGTTTATGGTGGTAAATTAAAAGAAGTTGTTTGGTATACAGTTGCGGGAAATCATGATTGGTTTGTAAACTTTTTAATTTTCAAAATTTATTAGATTTCAGAAAAATGTTAATATAAAATAAAATTATAGGTATACAAACGTAACAGCAGAAGTTGACTACTTTTGGGATGTAGACCAAAGATTTTTCCTTCCATCACTTTATTACGTACGTACTTTAACGTTCGGATCTAAAAAAATTAAAGTATCCTTCATTCACATCGACACCGATCCTCTATATTACCCTTATGATAACCTAACGAATATTGATAACTTAAAAGCGACTTTGTTAGAGTTAGGTTTAAACACACCTGAAGCAATTGAATTAAAGATAAACTGGATTGAACAACAACTTATAAAAGTTCAAGACTCTAAATGGATTTTTGTTGTAGGTCATCATCCTTTAATATTAGGAAATTGTTCATCAATTTATTATATGTATAGATTACCCCTACTTTTCGAAAAATATAACGTGTCAGCATATTTTGCGGGTCACGTTCATAAACTTGAATATCTAAAAATTAATTCGACTTCACATGTTGCATATTTTACTACCGGTGCGGGTAGTAAAACGCAATTCGAGGGTTGTGATGGTCCTAGTTGGTTCATGCCAGGTGGCGGTGATGAAGGGACCAGGGGATTTTTACATGTTTGGATTCAAGAAGATGGAGAGAAGATGGGGTTTGAGTTTATTAATTCTACTACTGCTGATAAACAGCCTGTTTCTGTTTATCAAGGGTCTCTTAACACTCGTAAAATAGTAGGCGATTCTAACAATTCTATCACAAATACTCCATCTGGAACTCTTTTGATTATTGCAGCTGTTCTAATATTTTGTAATATTTTTAACATCATGCTTTAAGCCTTAAATAATGATAGTCTCAAGTAATAAATGTAGATAAACATTATATAATGTAATAAATTTCAACATTACGGATACTTATACAATATTCGATATTACATTTGTTATTCATGCAAATTATTTACTTATATGTTTTCTGACATTGCGCAATCTATCAATTTACATTGATTAAAAAGTTCTTTTTTACTGCTAAAATTTACGGAGTAAATTATAAATATTTAATTTGTTCTAAAAGAGTATATTAAACATCGAATTCTTTGATTAATAGATTTAAACTCGTCATTAAATAACAGATTAGGTTTAACTTTTTAAAAATTAATTTTACAATATACAAGTGTAAATAGAGCGCCTTTCGCCCTTATAACTAATTTATAAAACAAAGATTTAAATTTGATAACCAGAAAGTTTTCAAGAAAAGAATCTTTTAATTTTTAACCATCATACTTATTATAATACTTATACCTTACACTTACAAAAAGGATAGTTTACTAAAATCTTTTATTTATAAAATAAAAAATTACCTGTTGTGTAACTAAGTAAAAATGTTCTCATAATTTTACCCTACCCTAACCTTAATTCCTAATATTAAGCAGCATATTGACTTACTATGAAATGCGTCATTTACTATTTGTTTTTTGACATTTCTTATTGTAAAATCATGTAGATAACGTCTAACCCATCTTTTCACGGGAAGAAGAAATGTCAAAAAAACAAATAGTAAACGACGCATTTCATAGTAAGTCAAAATGCTCTTATTTCATAAATTCGCCGCAATGGATAGTACGGCTACAAATTATGAAATAAACAAAACAGCTATATTTGTCATTTAAATCAATTTGTATAAAACCAATATAAACATAATTTATTAACTAAATTAAGCAATGCAATTAAAATATTTAAGAGATAAATAAATTATTTCAAATGCTTTGATTATTAAATAAAACTAGCTAAATTAACCTAAAAAAAAAAGATAAAAATAATTCAATAATAAAATTAGCATAAAAAATTATTTAAATGCATTGATTAATAAATAATTGACATTCTGATTAAATCAGTACAAATAGAAAGAAATCAATAAAAACTAAAATATCAAAATATAGTAAATAATTTTTATATTACTACTTTAATAATCTAGCCAGACTATTGATCTTTTTTGACTCTGCTATGCAATCATATTACGCAAATAAAGATTATATGGCTTGTTATAAAAGAGTAAGTTTATAAACATGAAGAATATATAAAAATTTAAATTCAAATTTATTTAAATAAATCTATATACTAATCTGCTGAACAATTAAAAATTACTATAGTGTAATAAATCACAATTGAGAATTAAAATTTTAAATAAAAAAAACATCATATACATAAAATTATTATAATTATTAATATTGCAACTACTGTATTAGTAATATTAATTTTAGTTAGGGAAATGCCGTTTATCACGTAATTTCTTTATTAGAAGGCTCCTAGTGATCAAATTAGCAGCCAATCGCAATGTTTATCTACAAAAAATAGACGTGATAGGTTGCTAACCCCTCCCCTCTTGTAATAAACGGCTCTTCCTTAGGTATCATAATTTCGGAACCATTTACTAAACGAGTTTATTATTTTTTTCAATTACCTCATCATATGAGTAGATGTAACCGTTTTTTTCTTTTCACAATACTAGTCGCGGGCACTCGTTTAAGGGTCCCGCAAATCCGGACCCTCCATATAGGTCGGAACCAATAAAATAATGAAGATCCTTGTGGAACAAAAACAAAGAAAAAAACTAAAACCTGTAGTTAACGCAAAATTTTACTATGATAACCTGCTTTCGGGCTCTAAGCAAAATTTTCAGACCAAAATTTTACATATAGGATTATATTTTATACAAAAAATGACTGTAATATTGAATTATCTAAATTTTGATCGGAAGTCTGAAATAAGAGTACATACTCTGAGTTTAATGCTAACGACTACAGCTTTGTGTACAACGAAGATACTAATAGATTTTCGTGGCCTCTATACAAATTATGATAAATTAGGATCATTATTTAACCAATTAACGCTTAACATTACTGCGAAAAATGGTTGCGAATTTCTGGATTTTCTTGGCTTTAAATTAGCCAACTATAGCTCTTTGCAAAATGGTGCGACAAAATAAAAATCATTGACACAATTTTGTATTACCATTGTTTTAGCAGGTAATATGTAGAATTTGTATGATTCAAACTATTATTTGTCGCACTATTTCGTTAAGAGCGATAACATTTACACTGTGGAAAATGTCTGCGGATTTCTGCATCACGAACTTCGAAGGTCCATATATTTACGTAACATTATATAAGTGACAATAATATTATGTATTTGTTTGATATTAAGTAAGCGTAAAGTCACTTAATAAATTATATAAATTTATGCTATTTTTGTGTAGTATTACTGAAGGTCTATAGAATGCAGCATTTTATTTAGTAATTTTATTAAAAAAAAAATTAGTGTATTTTCTAGGTACACAAGCTTTTATAATAATATTAGATCAAAAATACCGAGTAATTTGGATTTGGCTGCAATTATATCGCATTAAAAAAAAAGATAAAAACCTATAAAGGTGGTTTAACTTGAGCGAAGAACTTTTACGGCTAATGCGTCTTGAATTAAGAAAAATCTTCTTTTTTTCATTTATATATATTTGAAAAAAGTATCATTTTTTCTGCAAATTGCCAATGAGATAGTGCCTAGAAACAGTCATTTATTTTCACTCGTCCATTGATAAAGTACCATTAAATTTCAAATTTAACATGTCAGATTTTTTTTTTTTAACAAGAAAAAGTAGCGGATGTAAAAACTCTAATGCTTTTACGATTTATTGAAAGTTTATTATTATAACTAAAACTTCATTCAATATGACAAATGCATCCTATTGGGCAGCAGGTTCCTAGAAAAAGAATCAGCTGAAGTAAAAATGGGTTAAGAGATTTACAAAAAACAGAAACTTACCGGCATAAATTTAATAGAGTTCTTGAGACGCAAAATCGAGAATGACATAATATTCAGAATCGAACTGTTAAATGGATCAATATCTTTGATCGAGTAGCTCAAAATGATCAATTCGATTGTAATAGTACTCAGCTAAAATTATATCTGCATCAAATTTTTAATGATAATTTGAATATGCAAATAATACGTAATTGAAGTTTTCTCAAGCATTATCTTCAACGTATTAACTAGTGATCGCGACGATGCTCATTTAATATAATCAATCGAAATAAAGATTGTAATCGATACTTTAATGGTTCTTGTTATTCTTCTACTGTATTTACCAAATGCATTGTTAAAAATTAATAAAACAAAAATAAAGAAAAAAGAAAAAACGTCCAATAGGCAATAGTATTAGGTTGTACTAAATGAAGGAATTATTGATAAAATAATTGAATTTGCCGTCATATGAGTAAAGGCTAAGAGATGGTTAAACTTTTTTCGGGCTTCCTCATTTTTTATTTTCCATGAAATTGTCAAGCCAGGGATAAAAAAATGAGTTGTTTTAAAATGGTCGTTAATTGAGATGAAAATTTCTTTACTACAAGTGAATTTTGATATAAATGTTGCCGGGTCTAGTTAAAACCTTTCTTATATCGAGATTTTCTTATTTATATTGAATGTTTCTTATACCGAGAGTTACTTGTAATAAAAAAAAATTTGAATTACGGTTATAAACTTTTACATTATTTAAATATTCATTATAATAATACTTAGCAGAAAATATTTTAAATGGGTCAATTATGTTTAAAATATATCCCCGACACTTTTGACCATCAATTAAACGCTTAAGAGGTGAAGGATCGTCACCAATTCAGCTGAATCTACCGGATTTGGCGTATATGACAGATATGGCAGATACGGCGGATCGGACAGTATAACATATAGAATAGATAGTAGATGGAACTAGCGAATAAGAAGTAACTAAAGAATGTCAGTCAACGTTTTGCATATAATTTAAAAGGTTCCTCGTTCTGCTAGTCTCCCCAATCAGTGAATTATTCGATCAATATAAATAAGAATTAGAGCCTCGTGATGTAATATAGAGCTCTAATATAACACCCTAATTTCTTGGACCAAATCTCACCATGCCTCAATAAACAACTTCCATTATCAGGGTATAGATTAGATAGTTTGGTGATAATTAGTTGATGGTTATTCGTGTGACCATATTGTGACATTCATCGGCCCTGGTCCAGTCTTGTCTTATACAACGCCCTAAATCTCTAATTAGGCAGCTGCGCGACGTAGTCGCGCTAAAACCAGGAACGGAAGGTTTATTTGGTTAATAAATGTCGCAGATGATGGTCAAGGATGATTGTGACCTATATTTAAAAGTATAAACCCTACTAAAACCCACCTATACTCTTTTATTATACCTAAAAATTTTTAAAAATCGTATATTAAATAGGGTTTGATTTCACGATCATAAATATGTTTAATTACAATATATATATATATATAAAATAATAAAAAAAGAAAATTTATTCAATGCTTTAAAAATTCAGTGATGATTATAGTATAGACCAATTTCATGAATAATTTTGTTGACGGTCATTTCTTTGATAAAGTTTGAGTGATAGGGTTGGCCTGATAAATTGTTGATGTTGGCTAGAGGTAGATTGTCGATGAATCTTACAAAATGTTAACTATATATGTACATAACTTAGTCAATGAACATTAAAAAATTGTGGTTAGCATGTTTTTCTAAATAACGGAAAATCTATGCTAATATTTATGACATTGTGAAGATTTATTTGATCCGCATTCTATATTTTGTAGCTTCAATGATGGATGCGCCATTATTTCAAAAGTGGGTGGGTAAGTTAGCGATTTGCAACGATAAGTGATTAATAATTTCAATGGTGGAGTAGAGATTTTAACGATGGTTTCAACAGTAGATCAGTTAGTGTCTTTACTATTGGTGGGTTAATTTTAACGGTAGGTAAATTAGTAGTTTAAACAATAAGTTAATATGTGTT